GTAAGAGGGAAAAATTAAATCCCCCAGTTCATCAGACCATTTAAAATCTTAGACCGAATTAGTGCGACTGCCTATAGACTGACACTACCTCCAGAGCTATCCAAGGTTCATAATATGTTTCACGTATCTATGCTACGCAAGTAGAACTCAAACCCCTCACACATCCTATCGCACAAGCCTTTTTTACTCTAGGAGGATCTATCCTATGAGGAGGTACCAGTAAGCATTGTAGATCGAAAGGGTAGTGTACTCTACAACCGAGAAATTCCATTCATCAAGGTCCTATGACAAAACCATACGCAGGAAGAGGCCACTTGGAAACTAGAATCAAGCTTCAGGACCCAGTACCCCCAGCTGTTCGATTAAGTGAGAGAGTGACCAATTTGAGGGATCAAATTTTCTTAAGGGGGAGAGTTATAATACCCAGGCTAGAAGAACTACCCGAGACAAAGTTTTTATTTTTTAAGTATTAATTTAAAATAATTGGTTATTTTATTTTATTTTTATCTAAATAGAATTTTGAGAAAAAATGAATTAGGGACGATATTGAAAATAATTTTGGAAAAAAATGGTGAAAATTTAGGTTATGTAGGTGTTTTTGAAAGAAAAATTAAAAATAAGGGGTCAAAGTACAAATATAAAAAGTTCGGCCACATAGAACTACCTAGTCAACAGTCTTGACGGATAGGAGCGTACCGCGTGGAAAGTCGCACTAACATCGGTGCCATATGGGAGGCCACGCTGGCGATCCGCATGCCCCACGATCGGACAACCTAAGATCGTCCCACGTGTATGGACAGCCTGGATTTGTTTTTCCCATAGGCACTATCGGACGATCGAGATTAATCGTGATGAATGGTTAAGATTCATTTCCTCCTTAAGCACGATCAGACGGACAAGATCGATCGTGATAGACGGCCCATATCAACACAAGATGGTTATAAGTACTTCGCATCACACGGAAACCTAAACGCTAGCCGCCAGCTCCCACCATATAAGAAGAACCAGACGCTGGAGAAGGGAGGTCGACCGCCGACTTACTGTCACACCGGAGCCACCACCAACCACCAAAAAAGATAAAATGTTTCCCTACCCACTCAAAATTTGATTTTGAGTACTCCTATGGACAAATCAAAGTAAAAGGGATGGTAGGTGAGCCAAAAACTGCGAGCAAAATCCGGCGGAGCCATCACGGCTAAAACTCCAAAATTCCTCTGATGAGCCCTTTCTCAATTCCCATTTCACGTGATTTTTCGATCATTGTGTTCATCGTCATTTTCTGTGCATGGTAGCCAAAGAAAGAACCTCAACTGCAAAGGAGGACTAGAAGAGTCGCTGCACCCGAAGGGACCCCCCACCAGTAGGTTCGAATTTTAGTGATTTTTTAGCCAACCAAGGCCCCTAACGTGTTTTTCTGGAGGGATACAGCCAAAATTGGCCAAAACTGGTCAGGCTGAGGCAAACCACTGCTGTGGGTGGTGGAGCCAACCCTAGAGCACGGCGGCACTACTGTACCGGAACCCCAAAATTGACCAGAATGAGTTTTGGACACCGATTTTAGATTTTGAGGTATTTTTAGGTATTTGATGAGTGTTTTGAATTTCACAGGAAAAATTCAGGAAAACTAATACCTGTTAAGAGGCGTAATAGATAGCCTGGTGTCTCGAAACACCAATTCGGGTAAAAATCCCTCACCATATTCTCCATTATGGTAAATTGAGGCTTAACAGTGTATAATTTTATGTTTTTGTGAAAAATTAAAAAATCTTAAAAATAATTATAAGTTAGTAGTAGAGTCGGAACCAGTTAGTTCACAATTGTCTTGATTTTTTATTTATTTTTCTATATTGTCCTACTTGCTTGATTTTTGTATAGTACATGTTCTTAATTTATAATTCAATAATCTTATCAACTTATCTAGTTATTTTAGTTATATACCGTCAGGTATGAATGTAGTTTAATTAATTTATGAATGTGATATGAGATGTTGGTATGAGTTTGTGGGTTGTTTGTTGATAAAAATCTGTATGTGAAAGATTTACTAGTTACCTAGGGAAAGGGCGGACGGGCCTGGTACATAGGGAACACTACCGTGAACATTACCTCAGTCGAACGGGGCTGAAAAGTTCCTTACCGAAAAGGTTTGAGAGATATGGTTCACCCTCATACCGAACGGGGTATCAAGGTGATGGAATATTTGGCGTCCATTACCGGACAGGGTATGGAGACGATCGATCAATTGTAAAATTGGATATTAGGTTCATGAGTATGGGGGACACCCCTATGGACCCCAAGGGTACGAGTAAGTAGGTAAGAAAGGAAAGTTATTGTTTCTCATTTTTTTATGTATAAAAGTGAAAAGTCATATTGATATGGGTCTTCATAGGTTGTCTTTGAAAAACTCATTATGGTAAGTATTAAACAAATATTTTCAAGATTCAAATGTATTTAAATAAAGCAAAGGCTCCATTAGTTATATTTTTTATTTTTTTACTAATCTTCAGTTTTCTGTATCTGTTATTAGTGTGATATTCTTACTGTGCTAGTGTAGCTCATCCTTTCATTAACTATTTTAAATCAAGAAAACCAAGATCCAGATCTTTTTATTTCTTTAATTTTCGTTTGTCTTTTAGAAAGTATATTCTCGTATCTCTACTGGATATTCAAAATTATTGTGTAAATAATGTAAATTATAACTCTATTAATCGCTTTCGCATTTAATTTATAAATTTATTTTCCTCTAAGTTCCAGACTTCTACAAATTGTGGGTTTATATGTTTGTTCTTTGTCTTAATAAAGCTCAAGCAAGCCTCAACGAATAGGGATATGTAAACTTCCTTTGAGAGCGTCAAACTTTTCTTCATTTTTAAAAGACTTCATTTCCATACCATTTTTTAAATCTTTACATTAACTTTAATAATATAGTTCACTAAAAATTCAACTTTAGTTTATCTGCCAGTCTCCTTATATGAGTATTTTTTAAGTTTTGTATCATACGATTAACTTTCTCTCTCTGTTGAGGAGTCTTAATTGTCACATGAGATCTTATCATTATCACTATTGATTTTCTGTGACACATACAGAAAATAAAGAACATATTAATAAGCTATCTTTATACGTTAATTATCTAATAATTAATTCATATAAAGTAGCTATTATAATAAATTAATCAAGTAATAATTAATATATTCAAATATGATACAATTAATTAACTAATAATTAATGCATTCAAAGTGTGTAATATTCCAAATACCTAATGGGTAGAAAGAAGTCAACTACTTAGTATTTACGAGTGCAAGAAAAATAATTTTTGATACTGAAGTAGAAAATAAAAATCCCTTATAGAACAAACTAAGTTCTAAGGACTTACTTCAAATGCCATAAATTGGCAATTTTAAATAATTGAATACAAAAGTGGGGTCCTTACAAAATTTTATATCAGAGTGCAGAATAAATATTTCACTTGAATTATATCCTAAAGAATTACCAAGGATCGGGGAATGGTTCTAAACAAACTTCGAGAAACAACTCAGGGGAGCAAATCCTCAACTTCTACATCATTTAAGGATGAGTTCTATTTAAACTCAGTAAGAAAAATAGTGTTTATACAACACGGCTAAAGTTTAAAAAGTAAATAACTTGAATAATACTTTATGTACCTCATACCTAGGAGAATTGTCGCGGGATGTCTTCTCTTTTATCTTTATTAAAGAAATCTAGTGAAATAGTTACATAATCAAGCAAAGAGCACCATTATTCAACCTCTAAGCATGAATATTATATCACATTTGGCATATCTGAACATATCAAATATCCAATAGAAATCAAACAAACAGCACACTTCATAAACAACAGAATCATCATACAAATCATTATGGAGATTCAACTAGTACAAGCAACATACCCAGTAAACAAAAGAACCATCACAACTAATCATCGTAAAGATTCAACCAATACAAGTAACATACTCAATAAATAGAAGAACTATCATATAAATCATCATAGAGATTCAACTAATATGAGCAACAGACTCAGCAAACATAAGAACCATCATACAATTCATCATAAAGATTCAACTAGTACGAGTAGTATACAAAAGAACCATCATATAAATCATCATAGAGATTCAACTAGTACGAACAGTATACAGAAGAACCATCGTACAAATCATCGTAGAGATTCTGCTAATGTGCGAACAGCATATTCAGTAAATAGAAGAACTATCGTACAAATTATCATAGAGATTCAACTAACACGAGCAGCATATTTAGTAAACAGAAGGATTGTCATACAAATCATCATAAAGATTCAACTAATACAAGCAACATATTTAGTAAATAGAAGAATCATCATACGAATTATGATCAACACCCTTAACTGCCACTAGATTTTATTAAGTCTTTTACTGACTTTTGCACAAAGCCGCTATAACATATTTCCACTAAAGACAGAAATGATCCCCGACTGCCACTATGAATCACTTACCCATTCTCGGATCCTTATCATTTCCTTATCTAAACTATAACCATGACCGTGACCCTATATATACCTAAGGCGTATCCCCTTTCATTAGAGGGAACGTCGACCATCATAGAGAATAGTTCAACAACACTTATTCAGAGGACAGGAGAAATAGAACCTAATTTGTCAAAAAGTACAAACTTCCACACATCATTTTTTTAATTTATTGGTTAAATAATATTAATATAATTATATTTTTAAAAAAATTAATATGCTTATATTTATATATGTAATATACTTATAAATGATTACATGTGTATATATAGTTTTATATATTTATAAATATAATTATGTTTTTAAATTTATTATTTAATATAATATTAATATAGTTATATTTTTAAAAAAATTATTATGTTTATATTTATATATGATTACATATATGTATATATAGTTTTATATATTTATAAATATAATTACGTTTTTAAATTTTTATTTATATACACCGATTTGAACTCTAACGGATTAAATTGTACCCGTCATTTAATTAAAAAAAAAATTGCATCGAATTTAATCCGAACGAGCAGAAGTCCGGGGCAAAAAGGAAAAGAAAAAAAAAGCCAAAAACAAAGTCACTGAGGGTTATGTTCCTGTACGAAAAAGTCTATTAATGATGCTGCTGGATTCTTCCTTTCCTCCCGTCCACGACCGTTGATTCGTGCGAATCACACACCTGGGTCTTGAACTTGCACCCCAATTTCCTACTCAACAACCAACTCTTCTTGGTCCCACTTTGTGGGCCAGCTTTATCAATCTTCTCGATCACTTTCTTCATCGTGGAACACTCCCGTTCTAGCTGATGCACTCGCGTCCTCATGCTATCCATGTCTAAGCGCAGCACCTGATTCTCCCTCACCGCTGCCCTCCACCCGATTCTCCTCTCCATTGCCCCTTCCTCCTCATCCTTTGCCTCCCCCTCATCCTCCTCTACCTGTCTTTGCATTAACGACGGCCTTCTCGAATCTGCCGGCGCTGTCTCCGCTGTCAGAAGAGTCCCGGCGATAGCCTGTCGGAGATGTAGTTGCTCGAAGAAAAGCACTTGCACTACCGCCCGCAATGGCAGCCGCTCGTTTTGCGCCGCGTGCGTGCAAGCCTCTATGGTTAGCTTTTGACAGTCCAACACTCCGCTTATCTTCTCTCTCTCTGCTTCATCTACCCATGGATGCGCCTGGTTTACAACGCTAAATTGTTAATTAGCAATGATTTTATACAAATTTGAATTTGCAAAGCGGAATGTGTTAGTTTTACCTTCAAATAAACGTCTACGGCTCTGTAGAGTCCGTCATCGAAGAGCCTGGCTTCCTCGGGGAGAGCAATTGCAAGATTAAACAACTTCTCCGGTTTCAGATTCGTATCTGATGCGATCTCCGAGAGATATCCGTCTATCAGCTTGCCTACGAGCATCAAACCCGGAGAACGCACCTCTCTATCGCCGACGTCGGCTTCAATTCCGTCTGTGTTTCTCTCTACATAATCTTCTAAAAAGTAACCTAAGATCCTCTCGACGCAGTCCACGTCGTACAACGTTTCATTGAGATAGGAATAGCTAGGGATCAGCAGATCGTCGAGCGTGGCTTGCTCGAGTTGCGATCCGATCTTCTTCTCCAACGCGGTGCGGCAAGCCTCGGATGCATTCAGTATCTTCGCGGTTCGCAACAAACCGAACAGAAAACGTGTTGTGATTGAAGATCTCGAGCTCTTCTCCAACGGAAGGTTCGAGATTATGGTCTCCAACAGTTCTCTCTGTTCCTGCTCTGATGCTATAGATGATGATGATGGCTTCCGGCTAGAACGTAATATGCCAGGAACATGCCTTCTACCATAGTACATGAGGCAACTCTCGATTATATCGGCGCTCAGATCTCGCGCTCTCATTGCAAGAATCAAACGCTTGAACAACGCGGGACTTAACTGTGCGAGATCTTCAAACCACGACTCGGCAGTAACACTTCTCCCCAAGTTCTTCCTCCTCAAACCGGCTTCGATCCCATTCCACAAGGCCTGGTTCGGCTCATTGATTCCGTCGCTGACTGGCCAACCGAACAACGTCGGATCTGCGGAGGAAGCCCTGCAAACAATGATATCAATGCATCTCTGCGTAATACCCAGTGACTCGGCTTGAGGCATCACGCACTCGCATGATTTTAGAGCCTTCACTGACTCCCTCAGGCTCTTGAAAACGCACTGCGAGAGAAACCTTTCGGTCTTGGAAATGAGATTGTCTTCAGAGTACTCCTCAGTCATCTCCAGAAACTCCCCGGCGCAGCGGAGAGGAGCGACATTAGAGGAAGAGAGATCGATCTTGACGCCATAGCAGAACTTAGCAGCCATCTCGAAAGAATATGACCCCCCGGGAAAATCCGGGAGGGCAATATGACAGTGATCTCCACCTTCTTCCTCCTCCACCTCGTCCGCATGCTGCTCCTCAATTTCATGATCTTGGTTTTCTTGTTGCCCTTCATGTTGCCGCTGCTGCTCTTTAGTGATAGCAGAAGATGGTGTTGCTTGGACTTTAGCAGCTGGAGATTTTGTCTCTTGCTCGGTTATAAGCTGGTGAAACTTTCGACTTTTTGACATCAAAGGAAACTGAAACATCATGGCCAAAAAAAGAAAGGAAAGCATTAAAGAAGAGAAATGGATCTGCATAATGTTGGACAATGTCAGGTATGAAACTAACCTTGTGTAGATGAAAGGTCATGTCGACGACTTCCACCACAATGTCGCTTGGCAAACCGGTGGTGCAAAACCTGCAAAATCCTGATGGTTTTTGAGCTTCACCAACATAGATATAATTTTTTTCTCTTTTTCTCTTTCTAATGTATAAGATGCAGATATCTAACCATGCTTGCCCTTTAGAGCTGGATTTCTCCGCCGCCATGTTTCTCTGTAAAATTTTGCCTCTTCTGGAAACCTAAACCAGATCCATCAACTGGGCAGTAGAAACTAAGCAATAATCAGGGAGCTAATGATCAGAAGAGAGAAGAAAAAAGAGGAAGAGATGTTGAATTTAAAAAAGAATCCAGACCTGACGAAGCAGGGTTAAGAGTTTCGAAAAAGGGCTCTTCATAAAAAATTTTCTATCTTTTTCTTCATTTGAACCACATTAGAATTCCAACTACTCTTCACACACACACACACACACACACACACACACACTCTCTCTCTCTCTCTCTCTCTGCGTAAAGACGCTCAAGAGAGGAAAATGGGGGAATAAATATTTCTTTATAAGTATAAATTTTCTCTTTCAATGCTAAAAAAAGACCCATCACTTCGTTGGTAATAAGCTTGCCAATTGCCAATTGCCAATTGCCAACTGCCAACTATCATACTTGGTGTGATTGCTGGGTGGCTACCCTTTTGCACTTGGGTAGACGATGGAATGTTTGATAAACCTAATTAATGGCCATGGAATGGGCCAGGCTAGCTTGCAATTTAACACCAAGCTCGTTAACTGTGACCCACCTGCTCATTAAACTTTTCAGATAAAAAAGAGGTGGATCAGTTCGTACCAAAAGTAAACTAAGCTAAAATTCGAACTTTTAACTTTGTCAGTATCAAAATAGAGACGTTTTAAGCACTTTGCTAGCAGTAGACAAGATAATATGGTAGATTACTAAAAAAATTTATTTGCATGTCTTGATTTGGAGGATCAGCTCTCACACAGATATGGGTTTAACCAAATGGAACTGGAAAGTTTGAATTTTAGCTGTCATTTGGACTATGACCTATGAAGTTCAAATTTATTTATTAGCAATAAATAGTCGCTGGCCACATCGAAGCCCATGAACAACTTCAATGCTTTTGGTATAAGTCAACAAATCTTGTGGAGTTTTCTGATTTGAAATTTCCGTCTGAAAGCTGTTTGCGTCTGTATTCATTTATAGCCGCATATCCACCAGTTTATGGCTGATCTTCCTTGCATTTATTGCCGTCGTTTATGAGGTGTATTTGTTTTATGAATAAGAAATCTGAGTAGTGGAGGGGGAGGAGAATATCCATGTGCTTCTTTTCATTGTGAATCTTCTGATTATATTTGGGTTTGAATGAGAATAGCAGATGAATTAGAAAATTGAGTAGTGGAGGAGGAGAAGAGTATCCATGTGCTTTTTTTCATTGTGAATCATCATTTCAAGAACCCATTTTAGTTAAGGAGACTAATCATTAGACAAAATACATAAAAGCAAGATGGGACTTGGGACTTGGTTGTGGGACATACCAATAACAAAAAGCCCAAGTTTTTACAAGTTCGTAAACATTGCTTTTCATTACATGTTATCATCTTGACAAACACTTATCTCCCTTTTTTGTTTTTTAGTATAGCCATAAAATTATTATTAATTGATATTAAGGATACATTATTTAATATATTTAAAATTTTACTTCTAAAATATTACTAACAAGAATAAGTTCTTAGAAGTAAAACGCAATTACATACTGTGATTAACTAGATTTACTACTGTTATCAAAGACATTTTACTCACCAAGTACAACATCTGTTTAGTGACTATGACAATTCAAGTTCAAATTTCGTCATATTTAAAATAAAAATTAGAGAACTATTGTTAATAGTTGTTGTCTATTTATTCATTTCTATAAATCCAATGTCACTTTAATATTAGTTTTTCCTCTCTCTCTCTCTCTCTCTCTCTCTCTCTCTCCTATTTGCTAGTACAAAAAGTTTTAATTTTTCTTTTCCTAAAAAGAAGAGGCGGCACAAGTATCATGAACAAATCATATAAGATAAACACCAAAACCCATGAGAGAGATAGCAGTTGATTTATTTGAAAGACTGAATGCGCCCCTGCGAAGGATAACCTGCTTTTATTTCTTTATATATATCTCCATACACTTATTAAAAAAAATTAAAAGGCTAGTTTTTGGTCAATAAAGTATTGGCCACAAGTATCCCTCCTTACAATTTTATTTTGAACAACATTATTTTGCTGAGCAAATAGTAGGATACAGCAGTATCCAACTAAAACTTCGCTATCATCCTCCATTATTTTGTTCTTGAAGCTACCCCACATTGATCTCTAACGCAATACCTACTAACCAGAATCCAAAGCAAGCTTAACATTTTTCTTATTTGCCTGCAAAAGCAAAACACCAAATAATCATTATCATGTTGGGTATATCACAGATTCGTATCAAACTGCTCCACCCAAATCATTCCCTATTCAATTTGTCAACTCTATAAATGCACACACAAATACTTACTAATTATTTTATTAATATTATTACTACATATAGCACCCAAATAGGAACTAATAAAAAGACGCGCAATCCCACATAAAAACATCACAATCTCTAACTAAAAAAAAAAAAAAACTACTTACTCAAATGAAATAGAGATACCTAATTCCGACCAAGATAATTAGAAGTTCCAACAAATAAAAATTTCAATAAATTTTTTAAAAAAATAATTCAACAGAAATTACTTATTTTTTAAAATATTATTATAAATTATATCTATATAAATTCTAATAGTTAACTTATACATATCAGATTTTTTTTTAAATTTTTAATTTTCGAAATAATATCTCATCAACAGCACTATTTTAATATACACTTTTAAGAATACTTTATAGAATTAATTAAATTTAACGTGATAATATATACTTTGTATATCTCCTATAGATATCTATTGACTCTAAATATATATAGATATATAAATATATTGACTTTAATTTTATACATCTGCTGGGGTTTTTATGTACCCAATTTATTTTGAACATTAAAATGAAAATAACAAACCTGAAAGGAATAGTCAAACTTTATCACCCGTAGGAGCGGTCTGCTGCTGCCGTGCATCTATCTGATGATTAGAAGCAGCAGCAGGAATAACAAGGCCAGGCCATGAGCGGCATGTACAATGCTTTCCCTTGTCAATGCTTGCATAAAGCGTGGTCAAATGCTTACCACAACCCCCCCATGAGTACTTGCCGCACTGCTTGCATTCCACCTTATAGCACATATCAATATTATTTTTTCAATTTTTATATTGCTTGCTTTAAGTTTATTACGTCATATATATAGTGATCACATGGCCTCGGTTTAACCTTCATTTTGTTTTGGTCCTTTTATGATGATTTCTTCATCTTGAAAATATCGCTTCTTTGTTCTAGTTCATATCTATTGGCTACTTGGCAACAAAGGCTGTTAGCTGGCGATATATATATATATATATATATATATATATATATATTGTTTATAAATTTGAATGCCAAGTTTTAAAAATATTAAAAAAAATAAAAGAATACATGTTCTCTTGTGAGTGAAAAAAAAATATTTTTTTTATTAAGAGATTATATTATGATGTTGGTAATTTAATTTTGTTATAATTATTAAAAAAATAAATTTAATAATAAAACAAATATTTGAAATTTTATTAATAAAAATAATATAAATTTTATATTACTCATAAGAAAACTTCACACCTCAAACTTATTATGCATTACTTTTGTTGAAATTAACAAATCTCACTCAATTCTTTTCATTTCAAACCTCAATATGTTGTTTCTCTTCTGTCTAAACTATATATATAAGCACCAAAATTACCTCACTGCCTTTTCCCTCTTTATTACTGATTAATTCCTGCTTAGTTTTCCAACAAAATCAATTTGAGTTTAATTTTCCAACAAAATTAATTCAATCTTAATTTTCTAACACATTATCATCAATTTTGTTACTAATGAACTATTGGCAGTGAAAAAGTAACCATATATCCTTCAATCATCTATTGTAAAATATTTTTACAAGGGAGATTCTATGATACCCCAAAGTAAAAAGGTGTGTATTGGTACCTTTTCACAAGGGATATAATTTTTTCTCTTATTTAATATTCCTAATTTGTTTTACGAACTCTTTTATTAAAAATATTACAAATGGTTGAATGAATAAACGTCTAATTTAGTTATGAGTAATACTGAAAAGAAGATGTTTAAAATAGATTTCATTTTTATCAGATCTGATATTTTTAGCTTATTTGTTTATATCTATAAAAAAAAAAAACAAATTTTAACTTCAATTTTAATCTAAAATGCTTTTGATTTTACTCATTTAGTTGTAAAATACTTTTTAAATCCAAATTTGCCACCCTATCTCAACTCGGGTTTGAACTTTCGAAGATCATCCCTGGATGCAGCTCATTACACAGGTAGCCTAACAAGCACACAACACAACAATCCTTCTGCATATATAAATGGTCTTTTCCCCATAAGGTTTGCAATCAGTACTCTTCCATCAGATTAGGTATCATCAATTCGTATTTCAAACACTCTTTCATAGTCTTCTACACATGCCATGATTTCAAAAGTTCATCACATCCAATGACAAGTGAAAATAACACCTTTTGGGCCAAACAAAAGCATATGTTAGCATAGTCTTCTTCTACTTCCCGAACTCATTTAGTCATATGGATATGATAACAGAATACTTAAGACCTACTTCAGAAAACAAGCACAGCAAGCAAACTATTGCCTGCAAGGCCAGTTAAGCAGTTTACAAGGACCCATCCTCAAAAGACATTTTACATTCTAGAATTTTACAGCTCCCTAAAAATTTCCTTCATTGATATTAAAATCCCTGAGCATGAATTTGCCCAAATAAAAATCCATCAACATGCATTACCATCTCCTGTATCAGATGATGAACCCAAGGAGGGTTTCTTCACTGCACTTGATTCTGCATGGCTTGCATTCATCAGCACTCGCTTGACACCCCTTCCTACAACACCAAGATGGGTCACTCCAGCAGCCCCATTGGTGTGAGCAGTGGAAACAGTTGGAGACTCCAAATCTGAATTGCTTTTAAGAGTCCCCATCTGAGAAGAGTCTACCACAGCTGATGGTGCAGCCTTATCAGCAACCTCTGCCTTTATTGACGGTATACCCAGGATCTCTGACAGGATAGATTTTGGGTTCAGTGCCAGCTGTTGTAGATCTTCAAGCTGCAAATGCAATAGTCAAAATTAATTCAGGAGAATTATTAGATAGAAATATTTCCAGTTCATAGAAGAATTCAACTGCAATTGCCTTCTTTTCCAGATCCTCTAAGAGACTAGACAGTGTTTCAATTTCTGCTTCTTTATCTGTTACAGATGATTCAGTCTGGTGGGACACACTTGCAGACTGTTGGGTGCCATCATCAATTTCAGAGGCAACCGATGCCGTTGCAGATCCTCCAAAACTCTTCACTTCATTCATGAGTCGCTGCACCCTTGATTTGCAGATGGAAATAGCCCTCTGGCAATACGGAATTGCTTCCTGAGGCTTAGAACCAATTTCCAGACACAAACATATGCGGAAATTTCTGAATCATGGAGTTAAGACATGTCAAGGTGAAAGAAGTAAATAGAACATACTCCAAGAATTAAAATGTTTTAAGACCCACATTCGACTATGGCAATTACCATCTTCACCTACATGACAGTGATTAATTCAAACTTACATCCTCATTCTACTAGATAGTTAGGGTTTATGTCAATTAAACAAAATAAGTATTAAATTGAAAGTCTAGGTATGGGTATTTCTTGGATCTTCTAAAAGAAGATATTGTAAGTTTCAATATGAATAATTTATGTCAAAAAAAAGTTCCAATATGAATAATTTATGTCAAAAAAAAATTCCAATATGAATAATGATACGTATTGTAAAACAGGTTCATTACTCAAGGACGTTCATTAGTACACATCATATATACCAAAAGACAAAAGGATACAGTTCAGCAATATGTCGACTGTCAGGTTCAACAAGCTGGTCCAAAATGGAAAGCGCTTTCTGGTAGTCACTCAAAGAAGATTCAAAGTCCTCTACATGGAGATAAGAAAGATCAAACATTCTTTGCACCAAAAAAGGCTTTTCATCAAGTCAACAACAAAAACTTGTATAAAACGTGCCAAACTAAATAATTCAAGATATCTTCGTCCAAAAAGAAAACAAGGCTTATGTAACAGTTTGGTGAATTTATACAGGATAGAAAAGAATGTCACTGGATGAGTGAAATAAAGAAAAGTGAAGTGCTTGATAGATACAAGTTTGGACTGGATAACGCTACATACAATTACTTTAAAACTCTTGAATTATTTAACTTGTATATTATATGTTGATTTATTTAAATTTAATCCATGATCGATAAACTAATATCTTAATTAACATGGATTAAATTAATGTATAATTGTTGTTAATAAATAAATTTTTGGTAAAAGTTAAATTATTAATACTAGATTACAATTATAAAAATTTAACAGTTAAATTAATATTGTTGGAGGTGTACTTCTTTAATTATGGTCTCAAAGTGTTTGAAAAAAAAGAGTACATACTCTTTTCCCTTTTTCCTTTTTCTGAGACAAGCATATACTCAACTTGAAAATCCAAGCTCCAACTATCAAAGAAATAAATTTTAAGATTAAGAAAAAATAATAATCCGATGCCAAATAAGAAGATCCGAAAGAAAGATAATAAACAAGAGAGGACTATTTGAGGAAAACAATAGTATTTTTGGTGAGAACAACTTTGCTCCCCCATTTTGTAGTAGCAAATTTGTTGTAATTTTTGGTGGTTTTTATGCTGTCAAATTTCAACTAGGTTTTAGTAGCATTTCAACATTTTTAGCATCAAACAAAGAAATTAACTCTATTGTTCTGTTCAGTATTAAAATTTTATTATCACCAAATACTACCATAAAATCAACAAGAAACTTCATTATCAGACCTCTTTCAAGAGAAACTTCAGCCAATGTTGATAGTATCTCCACTTTCTCCATTGTGTCACCTGAGTGCTTTTCAGCAATTGCCCTGGCAATATCTAGCATCTTCCAGGACAAATCCAGATCAGATTCATCTTCATCAGCCTCAGTAAGGTCCTCATTGTCACTATCATTTCCATTTTCTTCCTGATCTTTCTCAGTAGAAACTGCAACGAGAAGAAGAGAGCAGAAAATTGGTGACATATTTACTTCCTGTCAATATCCCTGGTAACTAAAGTAAAAAAAAAAATGATGATAAAGAATCAAACAATACCAGCAAAAGAATTGCTGTAAACTAAGAACTTTATAGATTTAGGCAACAAAAACCATTCTTGGACAATTGACAACCAGATTAGGGTGCAGAAATATATTCAGCTATACTAGTGCATCCAGACCCAGGTCTTTGCTCCTTGTTATGGATGGATAATTGTTGCATTTGCAAAAGAACATAATAGTAATAATAAAAAAAATTGCTTCTGTACATATACTTCTGCTTAAATGAGTTCTGAGAAATAGCTAACACTTCCATTTCCCTACAAGATAAAGCTGCACCTTAAACCAACCAGCCGCATAGAAGCTGCATAAAATGCCTGAACTGGCTTACACTCTCTGCAACTTTGCTAGTTAGATGGTTGGTTGGGACTCCGGACCCACTAGCCACAATAATAGTTATCATTTATTTAAAGAGCAATATCTGATACGCATAATACTAAGGCCTAGATTGAAAGAGCCCAACTGAGTCAATTCCCATTCAATTTACCATATTCCTTTACTTAATTACTAAGACTAATCATGATGCCTAGAATTTTACCATAAATTTATATTTGAACTACCTCCCAATCCCAATTTGAATTTCCAGATGGATCTTCAATTCTTACTTTTCTGAAGGAATGATGAAGAAATTTAACAAAATGAACCTTACAAGTCGACAAACTAAAGCTTGAAAAGTTCACCAAGGACAATTTTCCAAACATCAAGAAGTATAACATAAATGCATTCCAAATTAGATAGCCCAAAGATAAACATGTCTTCCTTTCTTCCTTAGTAGGATGAAGGAAATATTTTGTCAAAGATTATTCAAAGGAAAGTTTACATGTAAGTGTTGGAACATTGATGTGAGTCAAGGTAGCCTAGAAGAGTTCCGAGACATGGGAGACCATTCCCACGATCAAGTAGCAACCCATGAGCACACAGGACCCCACAGAAACAAGGAATGTGCCCACGAAGAGTTCGCCCGTGAAGAATCCCGCAGACGCACGGCAACCCGCCGAATGGGGGATTTTTCTGTGGGAAGGAGGATTTCTACTCACACAAGGATTCCCGCGACTTTGGCATGGAGAGCTTGGATTCCAGCCCAATTTCAAGCCCAACAATAGCCCACAAGCAACTATACAACATGTGGACATTCAAGACGTGGACTTGGACAAATTGGAAAGGGAATTATGATGCCCAATGGGCCAGTTACAAGATCAAGGTCCAAAATGCTTCAATAAGCCTTCCAATTGTTTGTACAAGATTGGATCAATGAAGGAGAGTTGGATGCCCACAAAGAAGCAAGAAAAGGCACATGAGGCCTTGGGAACATGCAGCCCAAGCAGCCCATGCATGTGAACCTAATTGTTCACATAGCTAGCCAAGAGGAAAGGGGAGAGAAGAACCCCGCCAATGCGGGAATCCTTCTCCCATGAGGAGACGATTTCAATTCGCAAAATTAAACGAAGAAAAGACCTTGTTGGCGTTGGATTCAAGACCTACTAGAGATCGGATTTGTGGCAAAAAGGAGAAACCTGAGATCTATTTTGAGGACTCATACTTCAACTTTTGTTCTTCATGAATCATATTTTATTGAAGGAGATTCCTAGAAGATGAAGGAAGATCAAGAGAAGAAGAATTCCCAAGCCAAAACCGAATTCCTCCTTGGAATTCTACTAGAAAAAGGAGTTCGATTTCCATTTAAAATTGGAAACCTTTTTGAGCATCTTCAACACAAACACTTCAACAACAAATTAATAAAATATTGGAAGCATAATCCGAATGCAAGTAGAGATAGAATTCAGCCACGCCAAGGATTTCTTCCCAAGAGAGAAGTCTTCTTATTTTATTTGGTTTTTATCTTTTTAATTATTATTTTGATAATTTCCTAGATTAAGTAGTCACTAAAATTATTCTAAAATTTTAATTTTTGAGTTTACGTAGAATTAGCTAGATGAATGTCAATATAAAGGGCTTACCATTAGATTGTAATCGTCACTTTTCAAATTAATAAAATTCAAGAATTTTTCTATAGCTTTTGCTTTTGTGAGTGTCCTTTAAGGACCGTCTCATTGACTCAAAGATTAAATTTACTTATCGAGATAATCTCGTAGCGTCTTTTCAATTTTAATTCTACGTTCCCAATTACCTTAGTTTGCATTTACAAGTTGAATGTGGGTTAGGTAGAGAGAATTTATTAGGGATTTTAGTTTTGTATGCTAAAATTGTATGCAGAGTTCTAGATTGAATGTGTAAATCCTAAGTTCTGCATCAAACATGCTTTGAGAAACAGTAGCAATTAATCTCCAGACTTATATCCCATCTAAACACAGATGATGAGGATACAAACCTCACTCACGACAGAAAGCACCATAATCTTCCTCAAGCTGGGAATCGTCAATGCAAAAGAAGAGCCATCATATTCTGCTCTCACAAGCATGGGATATTGATTAAATTGTGCATGAAGATAGATAAGAAAACTTCCTAATGTGGATTTTAAGGCTGAGATTTACAATTAATCTGGTGGCAATTGATCTAAAGGATTTATACCGAAACTATCACTAAGTAACTTCCCAATCCAACAAACATAGGAAATTGAAAAGATATCACACATCAGCAAGTCCAAGTAGAAGCATATAAAAGAACCAAACACATAAAGAATAAGATTCTACACAACTTATACACAATTAGCAGTAGACATACTAACCATCATCAATTTCTCCTTCCTGCTGAACTGAATTTCCATCTTGCTCAATTTTACTTGAAACAGAAGCAGCAGAAGATTCAGAATTTGCAACATTCTTAGCAGGTCCCTCTTTATCAGATTCTAGCTGGGATTCCCCTTCCTTTTTGGGCACATTACCCAATGGATCAGCCTCCTCCTGAGCCTTGTACAGCAGTGCTTGCCCATACTGATAGTACGCATTCAAGCATTCAAAAGCAAGTTCACCATAATGTGCAACCCTAATGATACAGATATAACTTCCATCATTAGTAAACTGCTCTTATTTCTTTAATACAAGGGCGGTAGGATAGACAGGTCTAAAACTGTTTGTTCCCATATCTCTTTAATGCAAGAAGCAAAAAATTCCAATACTTTAAGAGCTATACATAGCAGAACAAGTGAATGGGTTAGAATTTGAAAAGGCCAATTCAATGAGAGGAAATTCATACCACTCACAGAGATCACATAATAGGTGACCATTTTAGATACTGAAGTATGAAATATGCAAGTAAAGGCTTTCAAATAACACTATCTTCTTTTTATTTAAAAAAAAAAAGGCTTTCAGATAGGTTAGTGTAGGGCATGGGTTCAATCCCGCGAGCAGCTTAGTGTGCTGTAATAAAAATTTACATGTAGCAAAAAACCAATAATAGATGCTTGGAATAAAAACACTGTAAAAAAAAAAAATTATGATCCAGTCTTCATCTTTTGAATAAACATTACAATTCAATCGAACATATTAATTGTAAACATTAAAATTATTGTTAAAGCACAATCATTTTTTTTCTCACAAGGACATGCAACAAGCTCCTCTCTGAAGTAAAACACATAAATTTGAAGAGGAATATTGATCAAAATTGATAAGAGATTTTAGTTAGTCAAGCTTCTCCACCACAGTTCTCCAAGGTCCCTTTCGGATTTTGGTCAAGAATTGATGTTTTTTCTATTTTAAAAGAATTTTTGTGTCAAAAAAGTTTTCTAACAATAATTTAAACCTCTATCAACATATCGACTGAGATGTAATGTTCATCGTAAACATACACTTAATTGTATTTTTTTAAACTAATAGACCAAGGAATCATAAAGCAAAAACTAAGGACATTTTGATAATATATCCTAATATTTATCAGTAAAAGTATCACAATTCCTTTTTTATAGCCTAGGAATAAGACTCATGATCTCCACTGAGAGATTTTTCTTACCAGTTTGACTATAAGAGGCTACTACAATTTCTTGATCCACCACGATTCTTTTATCTACTTTCATTCAAAACTTAATCTAACTACATCATTTTTTAAAAAGTTTTTCGGTCTCTTTTTCTTTATTAGAAATTTATTTGCTGCATATTCAGCAGAGAGAGTCATGACGAAAACACTAATCTAACCTTGAACAAAAAAGTATATATTAAAGTAACAGTTAAAAAATGTTCGGTTTGATACGACATGCAGTTTCAATTAAAAAGTCCGTAATTATTCCAATACAAATTGCTAAAACAAGTGTATTTTATAATGATTCCCAAAAAATAAAAATAAAAAAAGAAAGAAAGAGCTTCCCACGATGACCCTTGACATAACAGTTAGCATAGAAACATTCTCGGTGGACAAGCCCTAGAAAATCCTAACACTCTCGCCCATGGATAAACGCCAAAGCAGAAGCATTTTCCTTCTTTAACCAATAAATTTCCAGTAAAAGAACAAAGATAGAAAATCAAATAGAAAGAAACGCAAACATAGAAAAGAAATTTTAAGGGAAAACAAGGAGAAAAAAGAAAGATAAAAGGAGACCAACTTGATTTCAAGTGCGCGCTAAAGCACTCGACAGCTTCAGCGTAATCTCTCTCCTTGAGGGCCTTAGATCCTTTCTCCGCTAACTCAACGACGAACTCCAGCGTCCTCTCCCCCTCTCCAGCGGAAGTGAGAGCAGAATCCTCAGCATTTCCGTTTTCATTGTTGTTGCTCGAATCAGCTCCGCCCTGAGTACCGGTTTCGATACTACACTCTATTGAAGGTTGAGTATCTTCGGTTTTCATGTTTCTCGACAGTGGAACTAGGGTTTCGTCCGCCATTGTTACTGACGCTTCTGATGCTGGAGCTTCCTCTTCCACCATGGTCTTTCGCCTTTGATTAGTATAATTGTTTTCTTCCCTGCACTCCAAAACCCTTTCTGGTGCAAAACGAAAATCACTTACCAATTTATCTATATACGTATATGCGCGGATAGACGCAAGACCGTGTTTGGGAACGCGTTTAACTAGGCTCCCTATATGATTTGGCCAAAATGAAAGCGGGTCAGCTAAATGAGCATTTTGGCAGGTAAAATTTAAATGCCTTCAAAATTTGTAGCACGTCTCACAAATATTACACCGCATAATATTCTTTTCCCCTAATTAAGGGCCCGTACTCATAAGCTCATTTTATAAAATAAGATATTAGTAAGTAAATTTATTTATGTCTTTATTATTAGGGAAATGAATATTTTGGCAGCTAAAATTTAAATGAGTTCAAAATTTGCCACACGCCTCACTAATATTGCACCGCATAATATTCTTTTCCCCTAATTAAGGGCCCGTAATCATAAGCCCATTTTATAAAATAAGATATTAATAAGTAAATTTACTTAGGTCTCTATTATTAGGGAAATGAGCGTTTGGGCAGCGAAAATTTAAATGCGTTTAAAATTTGCCGCACGCCTCATAAATATTACACCGCATAATATTCTGTTCCCCTAATTAAGGGCCCGTGATCATAAGCGCATTTTATAAAATAAGATGTTAGTATGTAAATTTACTTATGTCTCTATTATCACCGGTACAAATCTAGTAGTTCAACTCTAGTGCTCTTATAGGGCCAAATAGGAAAATAAAAAATTAATGTAAAAAATAACCAACTAACCATTTTAGTTAGTTGAATAAGTGTGATAGAAACAAAGATTAATATTTTGATATAGACATGAATTCAAAAGACATTAAAAAGAAATATGAAGAAAAGATTACAATGCCAGTTGGTCCAATCACAAGATTTCAAGCTAATAAGCTAAAACATACTTTTTAAGGCTTTGTATAAAGATGGAGACAATAAAAACTTAGCATATGTGGATTGTTTGAAAAATGAAAGAAGCCAAAGAAAATCATTAATTTCATCCAAGTGTATGGATATAATTTAGAATGAATGTTTATGATCATTTTGGTTATTTCATAAATAGTAAATTATGTTCATATTTTCTTAGGTCATTTAAGTTATATTTATGTTTTCTTAGTTCATCTAATTATGATTATTTGACAGAATCTAGGTGTTTTAGCCGATAAATATCTTATTTTCAATGTAATATGACACACTTCGATTATTGAATAAATTTTATTGTCTTCGGTAGAAATTTGACAAGTGAGAATTCTTATTTTTCTTGTTGCATTAAGAATTGAATTAACT